GGGTGTTATGCACAAACAATGAATCATGGAACACTACATCAAAACCTTATGATGTAATGTATGGTGATTAACATAACAATAAAAAAATTTTTAAAAAATGACAGGAAGCTTGTTCAGCTCCCTAGGCAGTGAGCTCTGCCTGAGCTCATATACGTCTGACCTGGAGTGGTGCCACTCCCCAGGGAAAATGGAACACTGGGGAGTCAGTGTTTTCCCCTATTTATCCTCTTCCTTATACTATCACAGTAAGTGATGAGATGCTTACTGTTACTTTCACTTTGGCTTATTGCCTTAGTTGATTTCTCTAACACCTGGCAGCTTAGTCCTCTTTGGTTCAGCTCAGCTCATGACATCTTGACCATCTAGAACCAGCCCCACTAAACACTGCTACTTCCCAAAAGGCATACCTGCTGCCGTAAGAGGCACCTTGTGCTTTCTTGGTGGTTTCTCCTCCGGCTTGGGATCTTCGGTTTTAATGCTTGAATGAAAAAGCATCTCTGAAGCCTGGAGCTCAGAGGCTGGCATCTGACTGTGACTTTGATTCTCCTGTCCAGACAAAGAGACTTGAAATAAAGGACTGCTTAGACTTTTGGGTGTCATGAACCATTGATCAGACCAACACCCACCTCCAGACAGATTCTTCTCCTACCTTTCCAGGGAGAAAAATGATAATTATCAGACATTAGGTTTTCTCAGTCTTCCTCTCAAAGGAAGTATCTAACTTACATTATTCTCTGTGAAGCCTGTGCACAGTGCCTTATGCAGTTGACAACCCCAGTGACATCTTGCTCCGGGAAGAAATGGGAACAGTTTTTTTATTACTGCTCTTGAGAAGGTCATTTCCTAACTAGATAAAGTGATTTGCCCAAGGGTACAAACCATTGAACTTATGTGTCTATAATACCTCTTTAACTGGCACTTTTCTATGTTATCTCTTTTGGTCCTTACACAAAAAAGAGTAGGGGACACTGGATGAAAACAAGCATTTCATATGCTTCTACTATTTATATACGACACTTCATTCTTCTTTTCCTCAATGAATTCTAATGACAACCCTATGGAGAGCCCATTTTGTAGATACAAGAAAGTCAGTGATTTATTTGCTAAGGTTTACATTCATTGTAAAGAGTGAGAACAGGACAAGAACCCAACTCTTCAGGTGACATTGTGCTTTTCCCACCATCTTGGCCTTTCTAAACCTGGTTCCAGACCAAAGTCTTTGACCTGCCTGCTCAGGGCCATGTCCACTGCCCTGTACTCACCTGATACAGCAGGGGTGCCTTTAGCAAGATTTTGTTGCTGATGTGTGGGAAGTTAACCATGTTCTTCTTCCCCTTGGTATCCACAAAAGGGAGTGAAGTAATGCTGGTGTTTGGATTCTATATAAGGAAAAAGTGGATAAGGTGCAGAACCCTCAGGCAAGAAATCTATGTCTCCAGGGAGTCATTTCTCCCAGCTCCCCTGTCACAGCAAGAATGAGTCTGAACCAAATCCAGGTCTAAATTTATTTTCAAAGCTCTTGTAGAGAAAAGCAGAGTGGTCAAGCAGATGAGCTCTGGGTTTGACTCCCTGCTCTACCACATATAACTGAAGATCATGAATAGGTCACACAACTCTTTATCTAAGCTTCAATTATCTCATCACTACCATGGGAACAAAAATGGGATCTACCTCATAAGGCTTTTGTGAGGTAAATGAGGCAATTCATGTAGAGTATTCCATAAGTGTTAGCCATTATTATCATCATTCCAATATCTTACCACCCTAATATGGGAAAGCACTTCCTGCTATATAGTGTACATCTCCCTTGGTACAACATAAGCTTGCATTTCTTCTACATTATTGATTTGACCTCACTTGGATGCCTGTCTCCATGAATTGATTGATTACAAGAGAGGTAGTCTGTCATTGAATAGCAACATTTAAAATTGTGTGGAGATGAGGCATGGTGATGTGGATAGAGTATATGCATCATGTTATGCTGAGTTGATGAAAAATGCCTCTGAAAAGCTATTCTGGCCACCCACCTACCCTCAACCTTTCCTAGAGAAAAGACACTAAGCATCACTTCCCACCTTAGGCAAGGATCGAGTCATTCTGAGGTTCTTGATCTTGGAAGGTGACTTCTGGGCTTGAACCAAAGGCTTACTCTCAACCTAGATCAAGTAGAACAGTATTGGAATAGTGTTTAGCATGCTATCATGTCACGCTATTGAGACATATTTTGCTTCATTACAACAATCACAATACAGTTGAAGCCAGCTCTCTTGATCCCAAAGCTAGGAGGAGCTAAGAAAGGCCTAGAGAAGTACTGAATGAATGTATGAATGAGTGCATATCAAAACAAGTGGTCTTTCTGGCAGTGCTTATCTTGGATTGACTTGTCCTATGGTTTTCATACGTTAAAATAATCCATAGAACCCTTTATTCAAATAAAATCTTAACTGGGCACCCTGGACAGGGGAAGAAATAAAAGCTGAGCTGCTCTTTCCAAAGAAAAGAAAATGCCCATAGTCTTGTCCAGGGACTCTTTCTACCCTCAGAGTGGCTCTGAAGGTGCCCTATTGGAACCCACTAAAATATGGGAGCCCAGTCTGAACACCAGTGACCTGATCAGAAGAGACTTCACATCTAGAAAGGGGTCAGGAGGAAAAGACCAAAACAGCAGAGCTGTGTCCCCCAAAGGGTGGCAAGCACACCATGAAAGTATGTGACATAATTGTGTGTGATACAAGATAATGGTTATCTAATGTTTATACATTTATTTTAAAATACATTTATTTTAATTTGAAAAACTACAGCATATTAAACCTATAATTTTACTATGTAAAATGAGACCAAAATTTAAGTTAAAAAAATGTGAGCATTAAGTAGACATGGTAAAAACCATGAAGGTGGCACTGAAATTACTAAAGTTTAGCAAAAACAGGCTACAGTTTGAATCTAGGTTCTTCTCTTTGAAGCAGAATTTGTGGGTTCTCCTTCTTCCAGCACCCTATTAGGGAACTGAACGAGATTTATCTGAGACACAGCTGGTGCCAGACCCACCCCTGTAAAACTTGGTATACCGGCCACACTGAAATAAGAACTGGAGACAGTACTTCAAGTTAGTATCACCTAGCACAGCTAAGCCCTCTACAGAGCTATAATGATGGGGACTATGTAGAATAGGCCACCTTGACCTCCCAGAATAGGGACAATATCTGAGGGAGTAGGAGCTGCATAGAGCATGGCTCATGGCCTTAGACCAAACTAATTTAATTGGCTAACATATACTAATGCAGGATTTGATTGTCTATTGTCTATTGAATGGACAATGATGATATCTGAGCAAATACTGCAGTCCCAACTTCTCATCAAATAAGTCTGTGGGGATTAAAACTTATAATAGTCATCAACAATGTCAAGCTGGCATTGAGAACAAATTGGGGAGACTGGACAGACCAATGAAAAATATGTTAACAAAACATAACTAAATACCAAGCAAAGGACATGAACAATGAGTGTCAACAAAGAAGGAAGAGATCACTGTTAATGCAGTCTGCTGGGGGGATGTGAGGAGGCTTTGTGGAAAGCATGTGGCTTGGTCTGGGCTTTATCTGGGTAGAGAGTGTATTCATTAGGTGAAACAGTATCTGGGAATGCTCTGAGGGTCTTCACTGCTCATGCTGTCTAAGCTGGAGCAGAGGGTACACTGGATTGTGGAAGGCACTGAATGCTAACCCAAGATATTTGGTCTTTATCTAATGGGCAATAGTGAACCACTGACAGTTTGAAAGTCTGGGTGTTACATATGCAGAGCAGTACTTCAGAAAGACCCTTCAAGCAACAATGTGGCATAAAATAATAATCACAGATATGAACTCTGACATCAGACTTTAGTTTTGAATCCCAGCTCCACTATTCATTAATTGTTTGAACTTGGGCAAGTTACCAACCTTTCCTCATGTAATATAGAGATAATGACAGTACCAATCTCATAGGATTGTTATAAGGACTAAATGAATTCATGTGCACAAAACTCTTAAACCAGTGCTTTGTATATGGCAAGGTAAATGTTTGCTAGAAGTAATTCTCCTCTTTTGTAAAATGGAGAGTGGTTTTTTGGTATTTCTCATGAGAAAGGAAAACATGGACTCAGAACTAATGGAGAATGAGCAAGATGATGTGCAATCAAACAATGAACCATGGAACACTACATCAAAAACTAATGATGTAATGTATGGTGATTAACATAACAATAAATTTTTTTTTTAAAAAAAGATGATGTGCAATCTAAAAAGCATTGAGGATATTTAACATGAGAGAAGATAAAACAAAACAAAATGTCTGAGAGGTTAACAATTCTGATACTGCCATACATACATACTGGAATCAAATGACTAAATAAATAGATTGTAGATGACAGAAACCAGGTTTCCCATGATGGATTGGAAATTTGTAGATAATCAAGGTCATTATTAACATTACCACCGTGTGATAATGGATTAGAGTTGGAGACATCAATAGGAACTCATGTTTAACTCAATGTAGTTACAAATGGTTACATATAGAAAAATTTATAGATATGTGTATATGCAAGGCTTAATGCATGCACTTGTGCACACACATACACACACACATTTCTTTGCTTTGTTAGCTTTAGAGGTTCTAAAAGAAATAACACCCCCATAGAAACAAGCATACCTAACACTCACAACTTGGTTTCTAATACCATTCTCCAGTAAAAGGAACCAAGGCTCCTTGGAGAAGTGATTGATTCTAGGACTGGGTCAGGAAATGCACAAGATGAACCTGGAGTATTTCCTAGTGACATAAAGTAAGGAAGGGCTCAAAAAAAAAAAAAAAAAAACCCACATTGATGAGAGTGTGTCCAAAGGGCACAGGAACCAACTGAAAGAGTTCCCAATGACCAAATCTGGAACAACTTTAGCAACAAAATAAAGTAGTGTTGGATTAGAACTCAAAGTTTAAAATAAATATCTATGAATCCATACTGATGCAAATAAATGATTCAATAAAGAAATAAATAGGGGAGAAGAAACAAGTCTCCCATGCAGAAGAGTTCCTGATATATTATACAGACATTCCACACTAGAGGAGGGGAGCACAACTCCCCACTCCTTAAACTGTGCATAGTGACTGGTTTCCAAAAAGTATAGCATGGAAAGGAGGGAAGAAAAGCAACTTTACCAGAGAAACCAGACAAATACTACCTTACCCAGGTAATCTAGTCAAAATCAGCAACCATAAACCATGTGGATAGTATGTGTCATTGATATGCTTGATGAAAATGTCACTTTCCCTCAAGTAGGCTTCCTCCCAAAGCCTACATCCCCAATGGCATCATGAGAAAAACAGACAAATTCCCATAGAAAGGCATCTTACAGTATATGTGACCAGCATTCCTCAAAGGTGTAAAGGTCATCGACAACAACGAAAGTCTGAGAAACTGTTACAGCCAAGGAGAGCTTAAGGGGACATGACAACCAAATGTAATGTGACATCTGAGATAGGAATCTGGAGCCGACAAAGGACATTAGGTAACAAGGAAATCTGCCTAAAGTGTGGAGTTTAGTTAAAAATGTATCACTATCTAAATTTTTAAAAATCTTTAAAAAAATAAGAATGGTGTGCATGGGCAGCTCAGTTGGTTAAGCATCTGACTTGTGATGTTGGCTCAGGTCATGATCTCAGGGTTGTGAGATCGAGCCCCATGTCAGGCTCTGGTGTTCAGCAGGAAGTCTGCTTGAGATTCTCCCTCTCTCCCTCTGCCCTCTGTCCCTCACCACACTTGCATGAATGCATGCTCTCTCTCTCTCTAAAATAAGTAATAAATTTTAAAAATCTAAAAAGATGTATCAGTATCAGTTCATTATTGCAACAAAGTACCACAACAAATATAAGATTTTAATAATAGGGGAAACTGGGTGTGGCATATGTAGTGGTATATGGGAACTCTGTCCTATCTGCTCAATTTCTCTGCAAGTCTAAAACTGGTTCTTAAATAAGTATATTAATAAGACAAACAAAACTCCTGAGGGGAGGGGTAATATCAGAAGGGCCATTGCTGGGGCGCCTGGGTGGCTCATTCGTTAAGCATCTGCCTTTGGCTCAGGACATGATCCCAGAGTCCTGGGATCGAGCCCCGCATAGGGCTCCCTGCTCCGCGGGAAGCCTGCTTCTCCCTCTCCCACTCCCCTTGCTTGTGTTCCCTCTCTCACTGTGTCTCTGTCAAATAAAATCTTAAAAAAAAAGAAAAAGAAAAAAAGAAGGGTCATTGCTTATGACTCAGTATAAGCTTGTTCTACCTGATCTGAAGGACAGAATGAGGTCAAAGTGTGGAATTCATAGAAAGGTAGTTTCTAGCTCAATATAAAGAAGGATTTTCTAGAGCTTAGAGCTGTCCAAAAATGGAATGGGAGTCCTTATGAGCTAGTGAACTCTCTATCACTGGAAGGGCCAAGTCCACCTAATAAGCCATGTGAGAAGTGTGCATGGACTCATGGTGGTGGACAAGATGTAACCTCCAAAGTCCCATTTGTCTGTAAGACTCATTCAGGTGACTCCTGGGAGTGTCTTGAGTGGATCCTTCATCCTCTCATGGAACCAACACTGAGAACTGTCATATAGAACAGTGCTTCCCAACCTTTGTCACACCATGCCACACTATAAAAAATTATCTTTGTACGATAACCTGGGGTAAAAAGAGGAGGCAGCTCACAGACAGGCTACCAGCACAGGGTTCCAGCTGCCCCAAGCTTGTCTGCCCCGAGGGCTGCTGACCTCTACATCTGTGCACAACTCTACCAGTGTGCCACACAAGTTTACAAACTTGCTGCTTCTTTGTCTCCAGCAGCTTCCTCAAGAGGGTCACTATGCCCCATAACAACATTCCATTCTATCGCAGCATCCCCAGGAGGCAGCAAGAAGAGGGTGTGATCTCCTGCAGGCATGGTGGCAAAAAAGACTTTTTCCTTTAAGACCAGGAGCTTCGGAGCCCTGTTCTGCAGTCCCTCACTGACCTCTGAGCCAATGTAAGAGGAATCTCTAATAGTCATGAGCTCTCTATCCAAATTTAGAGTCCTCAGTATAAAAAAGATTTTATGCACAGAGGTCCATAGCATAGGCAGTGATTCCTATGCTGTCTAAGACC